TCAGTTCGGAGCAACGAATTTCACTTGGGAACCTCGGAATTGCAAAGAACGAAGGAGAAATGGAGTTAGGTTTGCAGTGGCATAAACGATTCTCAGGTAGCGTGTTTGTGAAATGAGTTTGGAAATAGTGGAAAGGGCCAATTATGCGTGTGTTCTCTGGAGTCAGGAATTCCTAAAGTTTAAAACCGCCAAATTCCCACTAATTCTTCCTAATCCAACCGTTAAACATGTTGTCCAATGAATTGTCCATTAAACCTCCCACCTTCCCAAGTTATTCTTCCTAACGACAGTTAAAATGTCATTAACTACCTTAATTCCACGTCAAAAAAAAAATATCATTTACATTTGAATCTATATTTGCAATTGGTCCTATCCTCATTATAAGGGGTATACTCTATTTTAATTTTTTCCCATTTAACTGGTGGTTGTTGTTTATTGTATTATAATAGAACATATAATCTTCTACATTTGGTTTTTTTTTTATTTAAACTATTGTTAAAAAAATGTACTAAGGAAATATACAATTATCCAAAATGTCACGTGTATTAAGATGGCTAATAATTTATAACTTTGTAATGATGTTGCATTCTTTAACAACGAGTGCTAATGTGTGGACATATGTTTCATAAATAACCTTTATTAAGGAGAGTAATGAGCCAAAATTCTACAGTGTTATTTTGAAGGTGTACGGGCTTAGTAGCTTTAGTTTTTATATTTATTTATTATCATTAATTAATTATTCTCTAATATTGTACGAACGTTCATTTTCAAAGTTTACTTTTTTATAACTAATTTTAGGTTGAATAAATTTCGTAGGCATAACATATTCTTTCTCATATGTAACTGTAGGTTAAGCAAATCAAGTTTAAAGAAGGTAGAATGTATGTTTTTCTCATACCATATTTATATACAAGTCTATTTCCATTACCACCATTAATTGGAGTGAATGTTGTGAGGATTCTGGAATGAGTTGATTAATGTTTGTTAAACTTTTGATGTTAAAAGGGTGAGTCTCCAGTTTGATATTAATTACAAGAGGTTTTGCTGGAGTTCCTTCTCCTTTGTTAAGATTGGATAATATAGAAATTAGACTATTTCAACAATCTGTATAAACACATCTTTTGTTTTCTTATTTACACGAATTGCAATTTTTTTTCCCCTCATATTTAGCTTATCGATTCCAAATTTCTGATAAGGGGTATATGATGTATGTGCAGCTGCAGTTAATGTTGCCTGAGTTAGATTCCATGTATTTAGAATTCATGATTTAGAGCTGGTGATTTAGAAGTTCAATCGAGGTACTCAGATAATATACATAGAATGACGCGTAATTCAGAAGTGTCTTTGAATACTGTAATAGAGGGGTGCACAAACTGGGAACAATCATCTGCCAAATCTTCGCAGGTGTCTATACAAGAATGTGAAGCACCGTAAGTCTCTATGTTTGTCTGCTTTATGTTGTAGATTATTTGTTATTTATATGTATACTTTATTATTAGTAGATACAATTCCAGTAAGCGTAGGAAGCTTGAACATCGTTCGCGTAGATCACAGACATACGGTGGGAGTACTGTAGGTTATTATGTCTATTAGGTTTCAATATAATAATTTACATCATTCTCAATATATTTATGTCCAGCTTATACAAATTTCAAAGTATATTTACCTCTTTAAAATGGTATCAAAATCCTAATAGAATAAGTAGTTTAACATAAATGTTCAAAATAGAGCCCACGAAATAGTATATGGTTAAACCTTTTGTAGGAAGTGGTTTTGAATGGGAACAAGTTTCTTAACAGTAGAGAAAGAGAAAGAGTAGAAGAACGGTAAAGAAGAAGATGGTGAATTTTCCAATGGCGACAATCATTTTTTCCCTGATTATTAAGTATTTTTGTGCATTACGTGTTTAATATCATCTAATACGTTTATTGTTTCAGGTGATTGTTATTAATATTAATTGTTATGAATTATCAGATAAAGTGGGGAGTTCTTCACATACATGTCATCAACGTAAAAGCAAACTTAAATGTTTTTTTAAACAAATTTCAACTGCTAATAAGCCAAGGTATTTACTGAACTACCAAAAATGTGAAAGTCTACACTATGAAGCTGTTGTTATTAATACATTATCATTTTTCATGTAGGGTTGATGAAAAATGTTGTAAAAAAACCCGTATAGAAGGTAGGTATTATAATCTTACATTGTGATTATTTAAACCAGTTTACTTAATGTTTCAGATGATATTTATTATATGCACATATTATCGTTTTTTGTAACATTTTATCAATAGATCTACTTAGTTTTTGACAATCGTTTTTTTCCTGATTATTAAGTATCTTTGTGGATTACATGTTTAATATCATAAAATACGTTTATTGTTTCAGTATATTGTTATTAATATTACTTGTTATGAATTATCAGATAAAGTGGGGAGTTCTTCACATACGTGTAATCAACGTAAAAGTAAACGAAAACGGTTTTTTTGAACAAACTTCAACTGCTAATGTGCCAAGGTATTCACTAAACGACTGAAAATATGAAAGAATACAATATGAATCTATTTTTATTAATATATTATCATTTTCGTGTAGGGTTGATTAAAAATGTTGTAAGAAAACTCGTACAGAAGGTAGGTGTTATAATTTAAGACTGTGATTATTTAAACCAGTTTACTTAACGTTTCAACACAGATGATACTTATTATATGCATATTATTAATTTTTTTTAATTGATAGTTATAACTCCTGGTACCATAGGGAAAACTCTACCAGAAGGTCCTCTTGTCCTCGGGAATGCACACTATTGTTTGCATTGTAATGCAAAGAAATTCATGTATGAATCTCCACACTTTTGTTGTTGCGATGGAGAGGTTGTGATTGCAGCTAATGAATTTCCTGATGAGTTATGCCGCTTATTTATTTCACAAGAAGAAGATGCTAAACATTTCCAGCAGTATAGCTGAATGTATAACAACCTTTTTGCTTTTAGTTCTATACGCGGAAAAACTGAGTCAACAACACATAAAGGGATATAAGTATTCAAAATGCGTGGGCAGATATCCACTGTGTTCCAGATCTATTGCCTGATGGTAATAGTCTTAAATACCTACAACTCTATTTTTATGATGGCCAGCACGAAGTTCAAAATCGAGTCATATGTTTTCCAGAATTACGGGAAGATATTATTCGTATACTAATGAAGATTATTGAGAGAAATCCTTATGCGAGATTTTGCAGATCGTTGAGGGAAATAAAGATAGATGAAAACACGCAAATAGTCTTAAGTCAGAGTACAGTTTTGGATCAGCGTGTTTACAATGCACCTTTGTCAGATGAAGTTGTTGTGGTATGGCCAGATGGTGCGTCTTCTAATCAAATCAGCACCCTGCATATTCTTGTGTATGGAAGGTTTGCTTAAACTCATCGGATTTTTCACTACTATGGTTTCTATGACCCACTACAATATCCACTATTATTCCCCCATGGTGAATGTGGATGGACCTCAAATCTTAAGAAACGGATTGCTATTGGGAAGAATCGAACACATCAGGTCCCAGATCCTATACATTCTTGTGCAGTTCATACCGTACAAAATTTTCTGGATGAAGAAGCATCACGTAAGTTTATTTTACACATATATATTAAGTTTTTAGACATTTATTGTGATGTGCATTTTGAGTAGTAACTTTTTCTTTCTGCAAAATGTAGGTGCTGTTAAACACAAGACAAAAGCTGATAAATATATCTCTCCAAGAGAATACTATGCTTACAAATTGCAAATTAGGCCGCACAATATGCTCCTTAGAGGTGGAAGATGCTTTCAACAGTTTATTGTTGATATGTATGTCAAGATAGAAAATACAAGGCTCGATTACCTAAGAAACAATCAAGATATAATAAGAGTTGATCTTTATCAAGGTATTCTTGATAGTGTGACGAGTGGACAAACAGATACTTCGAAAATTGGTCATCTTGTTGTTTTTCCTCCATAGTTCCTCGGCTTTCCTAGAGATCTTAAACGAAATGCTATGGCATTAGTTCAGAGGTATGGCAAGTCAGATCTTTTTATTACCATGACATGCAATGCAAAATGGCCAGAAATAAAGGTTGAGCTACAACCTGGAGAGAAAGCACAAGATAGACCAGATATAGTGGCTCGGATATTTCGTGCTAAACTATTGGCGCTAAAATAACAGATTATGAAGGAAAAAGTCTTCGGTGAAGTGGCAGCAATGATGTACGTTGTTGAGTTTCAAAAGAGAGGATTACCACATGCACATTTCTTAATAATACCGAAATCTAACTTCAAAATACGAGGACCAACAGAGTATGACAAATTTATTTTTGCGGAAATACCATCACTTCATAATCCTCTTCTTCGTAAAGTTGTCTTGACTCATATGATGCATGGACCGTGCGGTAAGCTGAATCCAAGATGCCCTTGCATGAAAATGGATGAGAGAAAATTAGTATGTAAAAATGGGTATCAAACTTCATAATGCATGCGATCGTTAATGGTGGCACCAAAATTTTATATGGCGAATTCCCAGAGCACTACAGATGGGATGCAGCTACAAAGGAGTGGGTTCAAAGGAAAACAACACTCATTGTTGTTGGAAGGATAGCATTTGTCCTACCTGCTGAAGGTGAATGTTATTTCCTCCGACTTTTACTGCTTAACATCATAAATTCATAGTCTTTTTTAAAATTACGCACGGTTGATAAATATGTTTGTGCTACATTTCAAGAGGTTGCCAAACGACTTGGTCTTTTAGAAGATGATGATGTTGCATCCATATGCTTAGTCGAAGCTACAGAAGTACAGTTACCAGATGCTTTGAGACGACTTTTTGCAACTGTTTTGATTTTCTGTCAACCAAGTGATCCATCTGCTTTATGGGACAAATATTACACAGCATTATCATAAGATTTCAGCTATAAATTTAAGGGTTGTACCGAAAAAATCAAGCAACACATTGTTAGAATAACATCTTGAATCAATGGGAAAATCACTCAAAAGTTTTGGGCTAGATCATATAAGCTATACTGTTGGTGCTGATTTTAGAAAAACAAGAGATATAGCAGATGCCCTAAATACAGCTATTCCTCAGGAATTCATAAATACTAAAGAACATTTGAATGCAGCTCAATTGAAAGCATTTGATTCCATAATGAAACACATACATGAAGGAAAAGGAGGTGCTATTTTCATTGATGGACTAGGTGGTACAGGGAAGACCTTTTTATACAATTGTTTATATGCAGAAATTCGTATGATGAATAAAATTGTATTGCCAACTAAAACATCTGGAATAGCAGCATCAAATCTTCCTTCAGGGAGAACAGCTCATTCAAGATTTAAAATACCTGTTGATCATGAGAACTCTTTCACATGTGATGTGCCAAAACAAGGTAGTTTAGCACAGTTAATAAAAGAGACGACTTTGATTATCTGGGATGAAGCTTAGTCAACAAGGCAAATTTACAGGCCCTAGATTTGCTGCTACAGGATATATGTGAAAATACAACACTTTTTGGTGGTAAGCTCGTTATTCTTGGTGGAGATTTTAGATAGGTTCTACCATTTGTACCTCATAAGTCCTTAAGACAGGCTGTTGAAGCAAGCATAGTGACTTCATATATCTAGACATGTCTGAAAAGATTCAAACTAACAGAAAACCAGTGAGCTCGTGAAGACCCTACATTCTGTTCATTTTTGTTATCTCTTGGCAATGGTGAATTACAAACAAATGAATGTGATTATATAAAAATGCCTGATGGAATGGTTCGACACTTGGTCATGGAAAGAGATCCTATTTTAGAGATTATAAATGCAACATTTCCAGAAGTTGAGAAAGGAACAATAACATCAGATATCTTTGCAGATAGGGCTATTTTAACTCCGATGAATGATGATGTGGATTTGGTGAATTCAGTTTTAATTGATCACTTCCCAGGAGAAGCAGTGACTTATAAAAGTTTTGATGTAATGCTCAATGATACATGCAGCATTTATCCAATAGAGTTTATAAATAAACTTGTCCAGGAGGAATGAGTCCCCATGAGCTCGTCCTGAAGAAGGATTGTCCAGTAATATTGTTACGCAACATAATGCCTTCTGATGGACTTTGTAATGGTACAAGACTGATTTGTAAGACTTTTCTACCCAACATTATTGTTTGTGAAATTTCTGTTGGACAATACAAGGGTACGACTATTTTTGTGCATCGGACAAATCTACGCCCTCCAGCAAATAACAGCTATCCCTTTGCTTTTGAAAGGAAACAATTTCCAATTAAATTATGTTTTGCCATGACAAGTAATAAATCACAAGGGCAGACATTTAATCAAGTATCAATATATCTTCCTCGGCCGTGTTTTTCTCATGGTCAGTTGTATGTGGCTCTATCTCGGGCTAAAAAGGCTAAAGATGTTGTGGTATACCACCAAACCACCTGAAGGGTATCACTTGAATTCAATTAGAAATGTAGTATCTTATGATATTTTTAAGTATTCGCAAATAATTTAGCATTAGATATTTAAGTTGTTGTTTAATGTTATCGGTACAACGTTATTTGTTGAAATATCTTATTCTTATATAAATAATGTGCAATCATAAACACAGATTACATTGTACACAGAATTATTGCATATGTTTTTGATCATCACAACAAAGTGATATATATTTGCCAACATCATCACCTTTAATTTTGAAAGCAGACCTTTTGGAATCCTTTATAATTTCTATTGTACACATTAAATTGTATCATTCAAATTTTCTTAAAAAAGAAATGTATAATTAAATTTGAAATGATTAAAGGTATTAGGAATTTAAAACTACAGGTTTTCAAATGTAATGATTAAAAGATATAGTAACATAGAATTTTAATCTAATAAGTATTATGTACATCTATATTAATGTACTTTACAGTGATAATAAATACTAATTTGTTTTCCAGTATTATTAAAAAATAATGAGTGAAATTCTAAAATGCTCTAAAAATTGGCGATTGCACAATCTGGTGCCGAATTTGGCGATTCCACAATTTGGTGTCGAACAATCAGTTTGATGAACAGCATGGCCCTGGATTGTGGCTAATCGAATCTCGAAGAGGGATCTTGACCACTTGGCCGAATGACAACCTCCGATAAAGATTGGAGGGGTCAAGGGATTTTGGTGAGGGCTCCGTCTGAAGAGGAGCATCCGAATCATTTTGGAAGGCCGAGACATTCGAGAAGGCCCGACAAAAATATGTTTGCTATCGGTCCTGATGAATTGTCGGCCAAAGATATGCAGCTGCTGGAGCTCTTGGATAAAGTGGGCACAGGAAGACGAGGCCAACAATTATACATTCCGGCCACTTAGCTACCCTGCTACCAATATATCTTCCAGGAGAAGATATTAGCTGCTTTTGGCCTCAGCCGAAAGTACCGAAATGGTAAGAATTTCGGCTAGGGCCGAAGGCTCGTATTTGTCTTTTTTTTTTTTACTCCTTTCTTTTTGGATTTTTAGAGTTGCATGAGACAAACTGCGGCTTGAACTATAGACAGCTGAGAATCAACGCAGAGAGAAATGTGACGAGTAGAAATCCTCGGATCACTCCACTTTCCAAGAGAGCCCCTTCGCTGCGCGTGTCTCAGCTTGACATAGTCAGTCAAACTGAATACTCCAAACGGTTCTAGACCCGTGCCAAATGTGTCCGAAGAAAAAAGAGGAATTTGTCCATTTTTCGGGGGGACGCGGAAACACCCTCTTCTTCCTGTTTAGTCTCCTTTGTTTTGGAAGTTTTTTCTATTTCTACATCCGATGGTTTGAGGACCATTTTAATAGTGTCTAGACAAACCACCATAACCAATGGTCATCTAAGGAGAGGGGAAATACAATCCTCGGGAAACTCACATGACTTCTCCCTGCCTCATCCGAATCATTTTAGAGGGCCGAGACATTCGAGAAGGCCTGACAAAATATGTCTGCTATCGGTCCTGATGAATTCTCGGCCAAAGATCTGCAGCTGCTGGAGCTCTTGGATAAAGTGGGCACAGGAAGACGAGGCCGACAATTATACATTCCGGCCACTTGGCTACCCTGCTACCAATATAACTTCCAGGAGAAGATATTAGTTGTTGTCGGCCTCAGCCAAAAGTACCGAAATGATAAGAATTTCGACTCGAGCCGAAGACTCGTATTTGACTTTTTGTTTTTTTTTACTCCTTTATTTTTGGATTTCCAGAGCTGCATGAGACAAACAGCGGCTTGAACTATAGACGGCTGGGAATCTACGCCAAGAAAAAAGTGACGAGTAGAAATCCTCAGATCACTCCTCCTTCCGTGAGAGCCCCTTCCTTGCACGTGTCTCAGCTTGACATAGTCAGTCAAACTGAATACTCCAAGCAGAAGCCTTGGTATTTGAACCATGACTCATTTTTCCTTTTGGGCCCTGAAAAGCAATCTGTTTCTGCTGCTACTGCTGTGAGAGCCGGTGTTTCTGCGGCTAACTCCGAGACTGAAAACGACTTGTGAAAACTTCGGTAAGCACAAGTTTATCTCCTGCCTTGTCTTGATTGAAATTTGTGTGTAAATCTTCGACATTTAGATCTTTATTTGAATATACATGTTATACTTAGCTTTTTATCTTAAAAGAATTTTTCTAAGTATATAACTTTGGATGCACGTTGTGCTCTATTTGTTCAGCTCATGAGAGCTTAAATAATTGTAGAACTTTGTAGCTTCTTATGATTTGCTTGATTTGCGTAAACCTATTAAGCATAAGGCTTTGGTTAAGTTATCTTTTACATATATATGATTTTCGTTTTTGCTTGGACCATGCTGATAAGATACTTCTCCTCCCTTTTTTCCTCTACTACAGGGTGATGACGCTGATCATTCTTCTTCGTACGAAGAAGACGAAGAAATAGCCAGAAAAACAAATGGGCGAGCTGTAGTCAACGCAGGCCAATTTCCTTTGGAGGAGTCTTCTCCATCGCCGAAAGGGTCTCGTCAAGATAAGGCTCCAGCCAAAGTGGCTTTGGAGAAGACTCTAGTTTCTTTCCCTAATAGGAACCAAGAAGAAGAGGTTCAGCAGAAAAATCCTTATCCAATGTCTCGTCCTCTTCAACACTTGTCAGAACCTTTTGCCGAAGAAATTTAAAGACAGGCTGATGCCTTTATCACACATGTTGAGGATGACGATATGTTGATTATGAAAGAGAGACTCGAAGGTTTCAAGGAGGCCGAAGAACGTTTTAAGGAGTTTATGGCTGATGAGATGGGGTTTGAGTCTGAAACGTGAATTCTGAAAGTTTTGTCTAGTTCATAAGCGGTCCCTGATGCTGTACGGGACAGCTTGATGGAAAGCCGAAATTCGGCTGTTGAATTTTTTGGGGACTTATCTGGCCTCTCCGAGTTGGAAAGAGCCAAAATCTGGTCTACCCTAGCTGCTCCTGGTGCGTCCGAACCCTTTGTTAAAGCGCCAGACCCCATTGAAGAAAATTTCAAGCTGCCGACACATGTAATTTTCTTAGAATGCTTTTGCTCGAATTTCTTTCAAGTATCTTCTTTCAGCTATTCTTTACTTTAAGTTTAATTTTTAAGTGTAGGTCGTTCACAACCATGTGGTTACTGCTAAAATAATTAAGAAATTTTTAATATTTGTAATTAAAATGTTTTAAAAAAATTTAATATTTGTAATTAAAATGTTTAAAAAAATTTAATATTTGTAATTAAAATGTTTAAATTTTTTTAATATTTGTAATTAAAATGATTAAATTTTTTTAAAGAAAACTATACATTTTAATTTATAATTATCAAAATTTTTGTTAAAAATATTAAAAAAAACGAACTCATATCCATTTTTAGTAAAAAAAAAAACAAATAATACAACAATATTAATAATCAAAAAAAAAAAATTACAATAAATTTTCTTGAAATTAAAAGTCCTTACATTAAATAGCAACATAACATTTAAATACAAACACCGAAAATGATTTTTTAAATTAAAATAAGCAACTAATAGTAATTTTTAAAAATAATAATTTAATTAAATGATTACAACATATCTATTTAACCATGGAATTATTTACACTCAACTTCTCATGCGTGGTATATGTATGTACTTCCTATATGGTTAGGTGTATTAGCTATTAATTTAATCATACATTGGTACAAATGAAAAAAAGATGATATTTGTAAAATTTTTTTTTTTTCATTCTCTTTTTCTTATTTATGAAATTATAAGTGAGGGCCACACCGGGAATTTGTGAATATAACATCTCTTTTCAAATATGAAAAATAGAGGATTATAACTGATAAAATTCTCCCACACCGGGTACTTGTAAATTTAGCATCTCTTTTCAAATATGAAAAATAGAGGATTACAACTGATAAAATTTCTCCCTCTCTAAAACCTCCTTAGCTTTGTTTGAAAAGAGATGCTACATTTACAAGCACACAGTGTGGGAAGATGAAGGT